GCCAGTCTGCTGGCTGTGGGGGCAGCCTTGTCCAGGGTCAAGACGTCTGGGTCCTCAAAGCCTCTGAGCACCAGGCGAGCTTTCGCCTTCCAGCGAACACTGCCATCATCCTGGTCGATCTTCTTCCAGGTGAGCACCCATCGGGCAGTGATGGCTCGTCCACGACGCTCAGCACGTAGACCTTCTTCAGTCGTCGCAAACTCCCAGACCAGGTTGCTGAAGTATTGTGACAGCTCTGCTTTCTTGCCATCTATGAACTTCTCTTGGTCCTCAAGGTTGAGTTTCCTTGGGTTGACTTCACCTTTTCGGTATGCCGTGTAGAAGGCATCGTCCAGTTCAAAGCCACCTTCAATGCATCTCCATCCACCAGGCAACTTGCCAACCACTTTCTCAACATTCACTTCCACGCTGAGAGAATCCTCTCCTTCTTCGGGAATGGGTACTGCAGCAGCTTGTGATTGTTGAGTCTGGACATCTGCGCCATGGGAAGACGCAGCAGCATCAGAACTTGATGGCATAGTCCTGGGGACTTTCTTCTCCTCTTGCAAGTCAGCAGTTGAAGTCTTTCGTTTTGGAGGTGGTGCTGGATCTTCTTCCGGCTCAACTGTTGTTGCCATTGAAGCCATTCTTCCATGACCTTCAGCATGAGTGCGTCGAGGTGTTCGTTCTCGATCTTGTTCAGCAGCATCATTCCGAAGTGGAATGGGCAGCACCATGCTGACAACTCCAGGAAGATTGTCGCGCTCCACCAAGTCTTCAGTGTTGGCAAGACTCGGCTCACAGTCGCTCTCATCAGGGAAGGGAGCTTCAGCCATGTTGTCCTCCAAGGTAGGCTCAATGTCGGCCTGTAGCTCATCCTTGTATTGTGTCGTTGATCTGGCCTTGAGCATCTCCAAGTCCTTGAGCGCCGCCTTGGGGTCAGCAACCTGCAGGTAGCCAGTCTCTTCCACCAAAGGCCGCACTTGTCGTTCTCCGCAACGAAGTAGGCTTGTGCCATGACATAGCCATAGGACTCGGGTTCCTTCATGGTCTTCAATTGCCACCACTCGGGCTGGACCTCGCCATTTGGCCTTCTGCAGAATGCCACTTCCAGCGATTCTCCAAAACCAACATCGCTGTCCAACCACCAGTTGATCATTGCTCTCTTGGAACTTCTGGTTGAAGGCACGACGCAATTTGGCGTCAGAGTCCGCCTTGATCCAGGCGATTTGAGCACCTTGCCGTCGCTTTTGTATAAGTGCGAAAGCTCCTGCATCGTCCAGAGGTTCTTGTCCAGGATTGAAGATCTCAGAGGTGAGGCCGTGCACATGTGTCATGGATTTTCCAAGAACCCATTGTTGTGGAGTGAACCCTCTGACCATGGCCGTCTGGTTGATGGCATGCGGCACGTAAATCGCCGCCTCCTTCAAGGCACTCAAGTCGTGTCGGCCAAGATCATCTTGGTATAGCTCCAGGGCACGTCGAACAACTTGGTGTTTTCGTTCCACCACTCCAAGCCAGGTATGTTGTTCAGCTGGTTGGACTTCCAAGTTGATAGCTCGGCTGCTTGCCCACTCTCTCACATGCTTGGAGGCCCATCCTTTGGCTTCGTCAATTCGAAGGTGCTTTGGAACTCCAAAGTGCTTGAACCACATCCTTTCAATCCCTTTTGTGAACTCCTCTGCCGTCTCGCTCCTCAAGATTCTGACTGCACAGAAGCGAGTGGCATGATCCACTATTGTCAGCACACACTGACGTCCACTTATCTCACGCTGTTTGCGCTTTGCAGCAGGTGTGCCTGGGGCTGGCTCCTTTTGGGCAACTGCAGATTGTTCACATTGAATCCAATGACTGTCAACTTGGATTCTTTCATTGAACTCCGTTGTCTTGACACCAGAGCTGGGTGGTGCCTGAGAAGGCTTCTTTCTCGCATAGCACGTCGGGCAGACATAGTGCTTTGCTGCCGTCATCACATCGGCAGTTGCTTGAACTTCATCCAGCATCCGGCATAGGGTTTCATTGCTCACATGCCCAAGGTTCTTGTGCAGTCGCTGGACGTACTCAAACGGCCTTGAACCGACTTGACGTCTCAGCTCACGGTTCTTCTGCACAGGTTCAGGCACATGAACTTCAGGAGAGTTGTGCTCATCGCCCTCGACAAGCTCAGACTTGTTGTAGTATTCTTCCAAGCTTTCAGCAGCATGGACATCGTCCCAGTTGTTGATCTGGGTCACCAGTGCCTCTGCAAGCTTGGCTGCCAGAAGAGGTGGATAGCTTTCAGCAAGTTGGGAACGTCGGCCAACTCCAGGAATGTAGCCTTCCAGTGGAGTGTGTGGATGTCCACCGGGGCATTGTTTGGTCAGGAGGGAGTAGATCATGTGTCCAGTTGTCCTGAAGCAAGTCGGCTTGCGCACCCGTTTCATCACACCATCCGTGTCGGGCAGCATCAGCTTGTAGCAGCACTGATCCACGTAGGCATCGAAACCAATCATTGACTCAAATGCCCTCGTGCTCCATGCTCGTGACCACCATGGATGCTCAACTGTTGCATCACGTCCAGCACGTCTCTGGATCTCATAGACAATGGCCACGAAAGTCAGCACGGTGTCGTGGTCAACTTGCCGTTGATAGTCCAGCTCCTCCTTGTAGTTGTCGCTCTTTGCAATGGAGAGCTCCTGCAGCATGGACCAAAGTCGGCAAACTGGTGACAGCATGACACTGTCAGGCTCCTCCATCATCAGCTTGTTGATGAAGGCTTTGCGATGTTTCGCATCTGTGAAATCCCAACCTTCTTCAAGAGAGAATCTTTCAGCCTTGACGCTGGGGTACTTGTCATTGAGGATCTGGGTCAATCTACCCTTTCCAGCGAAAACTTCCCAGATTCGTAATTTTCTGCCAGGACGATTGTCTGTGGCAGTGGCTGCAAAGATCTTCTCGTTCTCCTTGACGCTCTTTTCTGCCTGGCCCATCATCATCCGAAGTTTGTTGCCAGTCAGCCTCTTGAGGTTGCAGGCTCCATCAGACAACTTCACCTTCTTAGGGGCCTGGCTGTCAGAGGTTGGTGATCTCGGTGAATTAGGCTCCATCTCAATGTCACCCTTCTCGCATTCAGGACTTGTCGTCTCCAGGTCGATCTCCTTCACCTTGTCGTCCAACGTAGGCTCCATGTTGGTGAACTTGTCCATGACATAGTTGTTGCCAATCCGCTTTCTGACCTTGTCCACCTTGTGGGGAACCATCGGAGAAATGCCACCGTCGTGAAACGGGATTGCTGGGACTCCTTCAGAGTTTACCAGAATTGGCGGCACATCCTCCTTCTTCAGGTCGTCATAGCTGGTGTTATCGGCAGTGCAGTCAGACGGTGAAGTCTGATCCCTTGTTGAAGATGTTGCCAAAGCCACATCCACGTTGTCATAGTCCTGAACGTCGGGCTCCTGGATCATGTCCATGATGTAGAACTCACGCTCGGTCTGCACGTGGTCGTAGAAGTCCTCGGGCACCAGGGTCTGCTTGACAGGCTCTTCCAAGAGTGCAATTGCGCTCTCAGCCAAGTGAAGGATGTACTCACCCTTTGGGCCCATGGGCGCAGGTTGCCAATCACCAGATCCCCATTTGATCTCCTTGTCGGCGTAGTTGATCGCCACCTGAAGTTGCTCCATAAGAGGTCGTCCAAGAAGAAATGGGACCTTGCCGTTGATGACGTAGACCAAGATGTCACGTCGCAACCCTTGAAACCATGTGGGCAGCAGGACACATAGGCTTTTTCGGTCCTTGTTCCCATTGCCAAACCTGAATCCCTTTGTGCAGGTCCAGGCCTTGATGCTGTGGATGTCATAGCCCAGCATCAGCAGCGCCTTGAGGTACTTCTTCAAGTGCATCTTTGAAACCAAAACTGAGGCCGCTCCACAGTCCCAAATGGCTGTGTCGTCAGCTTCACTTTCTTCACCATCGTCCTCATACATGTTGATGGGCTCGATCTCGTCAGAGTCAGCCACCATCAGAGCATCGGCTGTATCAGCCGGTCCATCAGCCTTGCGTTTCTTGGCTGAAGATTGCTGAGGACAATTCCGCGCGTAGTGACCAGCAGTGCCACAACGCAGACACTTCACAGCACCAAGAGCAGCTTTACCTCGAGCTCTTGGGTTGGGCGGTGAACGTGGTGCTTGCTTGGACTGGTTCTTGCCCTTGCCTTTTGAACCCTTTGGCTTCTTCCCTTTGGAACTTTTGGCACTGTGGTGTTGATGGTTCACCATGGCCACAACGGGGTAGAATCCCCTGCTCAGCCGCATTTGGTTCATTTTCGCCCTTGCATCAACGTAGGCTGCAAACACCTCGTCATATTCAGCCGCCGCATCGTCAGCTGCATAGACTGCTGACTCACCCTCTTCATCATCCTCATAGTATGCTCCCTCGTCGTTGCCGTCGACCACATAGTGCTCGTCCAACTCCTCGTCATAGAAGACGTCCTCGTCAAAGTCGTTGGTGTAGTGCCAGTCATCGTCCTCGTAGTAGACGGAGTCGCTGGCCTTGCTTCTTGTAGGAGAAGTGACAGCATCAGGCTTGTTGTCTTGGCCGATGACAAAGTTGAGGGCTTTGCGAACATTGTCCAGGTTCATCTTGTCGACCGTCAGGGTCGTCATCACCATCTGTCGTTGTTCTTGTCGAAGTCCAGCACGGCGAAGAAAGTACCATCCAATCACCTTGTCTGGCAGCTTCACGTCGTGCGCCTCGAGCTTGCGCAAGTTGTGCTCGAAGTCGGCCGTGTACTCCTGGATTGTTTGATGTCGCCCTCTCCTCATGTGCATGAAGAACGCCTCGAAGTCTGCCGGGAGCTCTGTTATGGCGTCGTACTTGAATACGGCATCCAGTCTTTTCAGTAAGACTGCAGTTCCACCTTCAGTCTCCAACTGTTCCATGGGGAGGTCTTCACAAGCATCCCATGCCCTACCTGTAAGAGCAGCCATCACGTTGAAGGCAGTCTCAGAGGCACGGTTTGCTAACTGCATCTTCTTCTGGTAGATCAGGACGCGCTTCTTGTACTTCTTGTACTCCTTGTACTCCGATGCCTTGTTGTTGAACTCCGGCACATACTCGTGGGCCTTACCCGCAAAGGGCTTGGAGGCAGCAGCTGAGGATGTCGTTGGGGTAGTAGTCGGCATAGCCCAAGCTCCGCTGACCAACAACAAAAAGTCGATCTCGCACGAAGTAGATGACTCACAGCAAGTAGCGGTGGCGCAGCAGCATGTTTGGCTCTCACGAAGCTTCGATCCCACCACTGCGGTGGAAGGTATATATAATGGGGTGAAAATGGGGACATGTATGTTATGTCCATGTGACATGACTCTCAAGTGTTCGGAGAAAACTTCACATATATATATAATTATATATATATGTACACTGTATGTGTATGTGTATGTGTATGTATATGTGTATGTATATGTATATGTATATGTATGTATATATATAATTCCATAACATTCATACTGTTTTTTAAGACTAATCAGTGTACATTTTGTGGGGAGGTGGACATTTACATACTATATATCGATATATGGATATATGTTGATGTTAAGGCTGTTCAGGCGTCAGGGTTTTCAAAATCAGAATGTTCGGTGAAACTTAGGATCAGCTGCTCCAGTTTATGCTCTTCTCTGAACAACTATTGGCAATGCTCTCATCAAAAATGGCCTTATGCACTTTAACAAAGATCTTCTGAAAAATCTTGGACAACTCTTCAGTGTTTGTATGTTTTTGTGGTGGCTATCGCACTCTTTCACACAATCCAATCAGCTTCACCCTGGTCATCAGCAAAATAAACGGTGAACGCTTACCTTGAGCGCTTCCTTCAAGGCGGACTGCGAGGCCTCCCAGGTCAGCTAGAGTTCCAGTATGTACCCGTTCTGATATATTCCCATGATGTTTCCATTGCCTTTCAACATTGGAGACCAGGGGGACGAAAAAAAACAGGATCAACCTTGAGCATCGGGCCTTCAGCTCCTCGCGCCGCTTCTTGGCTTCTGCCTCGGATCTAAAGGTTGAAGACAACAGAACATGGGAAAAAACCCAACAATCAAAACTGGGTATCCAAAGGTGATGTTTCTCCAAGTATAAACTGGTTCACCATCAATTTTTCACCATTTTCTGATGTTTCCCCAAATTTTTGTTCACTTCTCGATGGCCTCCTCGGCATCAACGATCTGCCGCATTTCTTCTGCTGCCGCGAGCTCGGACCTCGAGAAACTTATGGTATAATGTATGTATAATATAATATGTGTATGTATATATATATTGTATTATATAGTAAGACATGTATAATCTATATTAATTTCATTCAATTTCTACATTATTCAAACATATATATATACAATTATGTAAAAAATGTATGTATGTATGTATGTATGTATGTATGTATGTATGAATGTATGTACGTATGTAGGTAGGCAGGCAGGCAGGCAGGTAGGTATGTACGTATCTACCTATCTACATATCTACGTATCTACGTATCTACGTATCTGCGTATCTGCGTATCTACGTATCTGCGTATCTATCTATCTATCTATCTATCTATCCATCCATCCATCCATCCATCTATCTATCTATCTATGTATCTATGTGTCTATGTGTCTATGTGTCTATGTGTCTACAGTATATGTCTATATAGTGTGTAGGTGTGTAGGTGTGTAGGTGTGTATCTATGTATCTATGTATCTATGTATCTATGTATCTATGTATCTATGTATCTATGTATCTATGCATCTATGTATCTATGTATCTATGTATCTATGTACGTACGTATGTACGTACGTATGTACGTATGTATGTATGTATAGTCGGCCAGTTGGTGATTTCACTTAGAAAACGAGAAATATTGAGATGTATTCTGTATATTGGTATCTAATGGTATCTATAGGGGATTTGACCATCCTCCCAAGTAACATTGACCCTGAGAAACATCGAGGTAAGTAGTCTTCCAACCCTCAACTACGACAAAACCCCATTATACTTTGTTGACAGCTACTGTACCACATGCTGCCACTCTGGGTGCCCTCACTCACGAGCACAGCGCTCTTCACGCACATGCGATTCGTCAGCCTCTGCTTGTTGATGCCTCAGCTCAGGGCTCGTTTTGAGCGTCTTGAGACTGGAACTATCCCAAGTCAATCCTTCCGGAGAAAATGTACCATGTCAAAAAGCCAGCTTGAGATTAGCTCCTCATCTGTTTACCTGATGATACTGTCAATCTTGCCCAGGATGGATCTGTGGCCCTGGCTCTTTCAGTTGCGCTTCAACTTGACTTTCAGCTTCAGTTTTTGACAGCGTCACCGCAGCCAGACGGCTCGATGCCTTCCGGCGTTGGATCCCAGCTTTGCACTGAGCCTGGCGACAGGACCGGTTCGGAGGAAGAAATCAAGACGTGTCCCAACCGGGTCCCAACCGGGTCCCAACCGGGTCCCAACCATTGACGCGATCACCTGAAGTCCCAACAATCGGATCTTTGCCAACGTGAGCGATTGGACATCGCCAAACTTCATGAGATCCGCAGCTTGAAGCATTGACTGCCTCCTGGCTCCCTTTCACGGCTTGCCATGCTTTGGGAAGCTGTCGGAAAGCGCCCTTCACACTACTTTGAACTGCCTTCACCTCCAAAAGCGACATGACATGGGTATGGATGGATCATGTCGGGCCCTTGGGCGGCAAGGGCTGCACCCTCTAGGTGCCGTTGCAGATGGCATGATACTCAAATTGTGTCATCTTCAAACGGCTTTTGGATTTTTTTGGTATCTCAAAATTGCAGAAACATGGAGCTTTCACTGTAGATTTCTCGGTCACAATCGAAATTCTTCAAAGTGTGCCAAGTGCTGGAAAGCGCCTGCTCCATCTTTACTGGGCGCTTTTGTGTCTTCTGTAAAGACTCGGCAAACCCCATGCCAGCCTCCGCATGCAGAGCTCAATCGAATCTTTTTGTCGCTACTCTGTACATTCGTGGCTACGGTGTCTGAGATTCCTGTGGGGTGGCAGGTTGCAGAGCCCCACCTCAACAAAATTCTGCACCGCCTGAAGGACCTCTGTGGCTGCAATGTGTCGAGAGCGCACAACAAGGCACAAGGAGTCACGTTTTGCACGCCATCATCGCACAACCCAAAAAGTTTTGAAGATGTGTGATTCAAATGTCCAGGCATTTCTTCAGACAATTCCTCTCTCAAGGTGTCATACTGTGTGCATGTCTGCCAACACTGCAGATCGGGCAATCAAATTTATTTTCCATATTCGGGATGTGGGCGAATTTATCCAAATCAATGATTGGGTACAAAAAGTTGCCACTTTTTCTATCCCTGCTGGTACCATTTGTTCGACCCATATCCCCCAGAAACAAAGCAACCATCACTAATCCCAGAGCGGTTGATCAGTCGCCACCCTCTGACAGTGCTGTCAGGCGACGGCTTCCCGAGAAGCTTCAGCACGTTGCTGCGCCTGGCATTCCATCCACTGATTTATCAGCATCATTTGAATCATTTCCCTTCTTAAAATGATGTTTTGATCATAGTTGATGCACAAAATGTGGTAGTTTTCAGGCTCACCCCTTAAGATCATTAGGATGTGAGTGAATCTAACCCCTAGGTTTTTCAGTTTTCACATCGCAGTCCCAATCGCGCGCCTTGGTCACCAGTTGCTCCAGGCGATGCCTGTCTCGCTCCCGTCCTGGAGACCCAGCTGATCCACCACTGCCTTGATAGTTTGAATCAGTATAAATCATTTTGAATCTAGACATGATCTGGAGATCTCATGAGATATCATGAGACATCCTGAGCCAGTTCATGAAATTCTGAAATCCTGCTTCCTTGAACCTGTGGTGCACTGCAGAGGCGGCGAAACTTAAAGAGTCACTACAGGGCCTGGCTCCAGCTTCAACAAGTTCTCTTCGGAGGTCTGACACTCATTCTGGCCAACGGGTTTGGGCATCAAGGATGATTTGGACGGTTTGGCCAAAGGCACTCTAAGTAGACAAGAAGGGTCAACTTCATCAAATGGCTTTCAATTGTGGCGTCAATGTTTTTTTCCCCCAGATCAAAAGTCATCATCAGCCATCTGGCAGGAAACAAGTTCACTCCGCTCCATTCGTCCCTGCAAAAAAAGTTCACAGTCCGCAAGCCTCCCGGAAGTTGTTGTTGTCCATGGCATTTTTCAGCTTGTCCAGGGCTTTCAATGCCTTTCGAAGCCTCTTTCGCAAGCGCGGCAATCAGCACCCCCCTTGTGAAGTTGTGTCTGTGTCTTCATTCCCCGTATTCCCCATGTCACCAACGACATGTCTCACAAATGGCCACCTGCTATGGAGCATCCTGGAGCGCTTTCATTAAAGCAAGGACAAAAACAATAAATTGAAAAAGAGGCAGTATAAGTTAAAGTCCCTATATCAACCAATCAACCAGGGTATGTTTAATGGCTCACTTGTTCCTTTGTGTCTTGGAAATGATCGGACCACTTCCAGCTTCATGAGAGCAGCACGCCTGTCAGGTGCAGCATCTGCAGCACCATCACCTCTAGTGCCAAGTGCTGGCATCATTTGCATCCTTTTGACATCTATGACACCCTTTCAACAGGTTGAAGCTCCCATCTATCTGGGTGTCTAGAAACATGGTACCCGAAAATCCTTGGTGTATCAGCCTTTTCCCTATTAAAGTGAACATAATTTCTAGATATGTTCCTTTTTATCCCTTTTTCGGGTACCAAACCCATCTGAACACGTCATCGGGGCACCCCACCTGCTGCCACCCCTCGCTGATCCACCAGGTCCAGTTGCTTGGAAGCCTCTGACAGCGCCTGGCAGGCAGACTTGGGTGACTTGGTGAACCAATTTAGGGCTGGAAATAATACAAATAATGATGCTAAAGTTGCCCCAAATTCATGTAGCTTCACTCTCCATTGGGAAGCATCAAGTCCAAGTAAGTCATTGCAAACTAGATGCTTGGTTGAAGTTGCACACTTATGTGCATGTACAGTCAAAAGTCTAACCTCATGCTACCCCGATTCCTCTTGCACAAGTACCCAAGTAACTGCAAGCAAATTATCAAATGCTGGAAGTCTAGCAACCAAGTTTACTGTCGTCAATGCTCAATATTCTCGCTGTGTATGCCAGCAGTTTGGAGATACTGCTTTTGGCTCCCAAATGAAATTTAGGGGGCATTAAACCGTGGTGTTCATCGCAACTGATACCGCGATGTTGTAGGGTGTTCAGCAGCGATTTCTGGTCAACGCGTGAGTCATCTGCGCACATTGAAAGCGAGTCATCTGCGCACATTGCAAACGAGTCATCTGCGCACAGAAAAACCGCGTCATCCGCGCACAAAGAGCGGTCATCTGCGCACATTGAGGCTGGGAACCAGCCATTTTTGGTTTGGTTGGGGGGGGTGGGGTGGGGTGGGGGGGTGGGATGATAACGTTCATGTTCCTATGCACACACAGGCACAGCAACCTCATCATCTTTCTTCCCGTAGAGCAGAGACAGGCACAGCTCTTTCATGATCAGTTACCGGTGGGGTGGGGTGAGTTAATAAGGTTCATGTTCCTATGCATACAGAGGCACAGCAACCTCATCATCTTTCTTGCTGTAGAGCACTTACACGCACTGCTCTTTCATGATCAGTTACCCGTGGGGTGGGGTGGGATGATAACGTTCATGTTCCTATGCACACACAGGCACAGCAACCTCCTCATCTTTCTTCCCGTAGAGCAGAGACAGGCACAGCTCTTTCATGATCAGTTACCGGTGGGGTGGGGTGAGTTAATAAGGTTCATGTTCCTATGCATACAGAGGCACAGCAACCTCATCATCTTTCTTGCTGTAGAGCACTTACACGCACTGCTCTTTCATGATCAGTTACCCGTGGGGTGGGGTGGGATGATAACGTTCATGTTCCTATGCACACACAGGCACAGCAACCTCCTCATCTTTCTTCCCGTAGAGCAGAGACAGGCACAGCTCTTTCATGATCAGTTACCGGTGGGGTGGGGTGAGTTAATAAGGTTCATGTTCCTATGCATACAGACGCACAGCCACCTCATCATCTTTCTTGCTGTAGAGCACTTACACGCACTGCTCTTTCATGATCAGTTACCCTTGGGGTGGGTGGGGGTGGGGTGGGGTGGGGTGGGATGATAACGTTCATGTTCCTATGCACACACAGGCACAGCAACCTCATCATCTTTCTTCCCGTAGAGCAGAGACAGATACAGCTCTTTCATGATCAGTTACCGGTAGGGTGGGGTGAGTTAATAAGGTTTCTGTTCCTATGCATCTTGATGAGTTGTGTGATGATGTTTAAAAAAAAGCTAGAAGAAGAATCATGTTACAGAGATACAATGACAAAATCACACAACAAAAACGTGCACAGACGACCAACCGTCTGACGTGCACAAACGACCCACTTTTGACGTGCACAGACGAACCCTGAACCGCGATTTCTCTCCTGTTTTCCGCTGAATTCCTGCCAGATCACAGGCCGTTTGGTATGACATTATCAAGTTGAGGTGCCACTTAATCCGCGTCCATTTTACCAACCTTGTGGCCTTCCCTATGGACAAAAATCGTGCCAATGCCCCCACCCCGCCTGGCCAAAGCTCTCCCCAGCACTGGTGGCGCTTTGCGCTGCCTGGCGGAACTGATGGCGACAAGCAGTGGAATCTGATTCGCGAGCTCCGAAACCTTCTGTGCTGGAGTCCTTGGAATATTTTGGAATTATCTTTGAGAATTTTTTGTTGATTTGTTCCAAGAAAAAAACTCACGACCAAACGATGATCTGGCAATCCTACCACAGTGTTGATTTTGCCTTTTCACTTTCAAAGCTGAAAATGTTTTTTTTCACGAACACACTGACAGTTCTGCTATGCTACCCAAGACAAGACCCAGCCAAACCAAGTGCACTAACACAGAGTCCCTCCTCTGTGGCACTCTTCACCGCCGTGTCGAAGGCCTGAAAAGTCCCAGGCTGGGGACTTTTCAAATGCTGACCCTCAGCAGCTTCAGCCGATGTTGCCCCCGGATCAAATATACGAATCTTGTGGTGTCTTGGTGGCAACCCGGGCCTCGCTTGCACCGGTCAAGCTGTGTTGCTGTTGCAGAAGCTTGTCCTGGAGCCACCGGGATTAGCTCGGATAGATCCCCAATTTATTTATGATTTTGAAGGGGAAAAATTAGACATGTTAAAGTACCAGAGCAGAGCCACGACGTGGAACACAATCAAACCATAGGATAGCAGAAACATTTTTCCCACCGAAACTGAGCCCAATTTCAAGCACTGCCATCCCTCAATGAAGCTGGTTGATCTGAATGGAGATATCGTTCAAAATTGTATGTAGCCCCATTTTGGAACTATTGTTTCATGTTCAGAATATCCCGAATGGACTAACTTTGTGGTCGATTGGTGCCTCATTTTCTGGCCATATCTATCTACACAGGCAGTTCCGAGCCTGCAGGGAGGTGAGGCTCTTGTTTGCCTGGCATCAAGATCTGGCCAAGGGTCACCCGTATGCCTCTCAGTGCCTATCCCTGATAAGAAGTCCAACAAAAATCATGATCCTCTTGTGTGACCAAATATATGTTTTATGTGATGATTGATCAAAATTCCTTTATCTGGGAACGGCCATTCTTCGCGAAAAAAATATTTCGCGAATCTTTCGCAAACTCCATGTCTATCTTTCGCGGGGCCATGTTGAGCAACAACTCCTCTTATCAAGATTCAGTCATCACCTGCCAAATCACACAAAATCATCACGGATAACTTTTTCATAGCCTTATAAACATGCAGCTAGCATCACAGAATCCCCTTCTCGGGACAGGTTGTTGCTGATTAGGCAATTTTTGCAAGGCTTACTGGGCCACTCCCCTTCAAAATGCACTTTGGTTTCGCCCGCTCCTTCGCAGAACTTTCGCAGAACTTTAGCGAAAATACCCCTACCCGCAGACCCCAGCCATCAGAAGGGGGCGCATCAGAGGAAAAGCAAACACCTGGGGCCTTGGTGTTTGGCTTGAGACTTCAGAAAGCAACGTTAAGCAGGTGCAAGGATGTGCTTCAAGACCATGGTATTTGGCTGTGGCGAAGCCTCGCCTTCAGAAGCTTGGCTGCAACCTATGAAGGGAAAGATAAATGTGCGTTACCATTCTCCTGCGGGACCCCAGGGCGGCAGGAGGTGGTAGCCCTTCATAAGTTGTAATGCATACAACGATAATGATTCATAATATCCAACTTTCGCGAAACTTTCGCGAATAAAAATTGTTCTTTCGCGGACTCACAAAATTAACTTTCACGAGGGTTTCCAACATAACATGCACGGTTTTCGCAACTAAAACTCCTTACTAGGACCTTTAGATCGATTACCATGTATGTATGTATATACACATATGATTGATTGTGTACCTCTTTGATGTAAAAACTATACTTAAATTGTTAAATCAAGTTAAATGATACAAGTGCCTCAATGTTCATCAGCTTAGGCTCGAAGACTGCATTGCGGATGCCTTGTCCAGTCGCGTCTGCGCTGCACTCTCTTCCCTTCGGGCCTGCAACAGAGCCTCCTAGCCTCAAAATACCTTCAAAACGCCTAAAAGTGCCTAAAAGCCTTCCTGGACGATGTCTCAACGCAGGACTCCTTATTTCCAATAGACACTTTGTATGATCACGAGAAGTGAAGATGTCTCCGGCCATGTTAGGAAGTTTCACTTGGTTTGGATTAATCACAGCCCCGGGCCTGCGTCAGCTCAGACCTCTTGTCCTTCAACGCCTCTTCTGCCCGCACGCGTCGGTCCTACAGTGCGGAACGGAGGACTGGACATCTGTGTTTCCATTGATGAGCAAAGTGACAATTCAAACCCTCTTTCAGCGATTCCCACTTCTTGATCTAGCATGTTCTCCTGACTTGTGCCGCTACCTTTGGAACTTTAGGTTTTGCACCATGAGTATGTGACTTCAATTTGGAAGCATTGGACTTGAGACTTCGGTCTTGGGCTTGGTGCAACGATGTGCAATTATCCTACAAAGGCCACCCAAAGGGGAAAACAGGTACGGTACAGCTGTCTTTTTGAAAAGTCTGGTTTGGCTTCCAGTGTGTTACACAATCAATGAACGGAATCTATTGAACATCCACCCAGAAATTGGGACAAACCTGAGAAGGGGGGAACGAAAGCCAGCATCCCATCTACTCCTATTTTCCACCATACTTTTCACCCAGCGACTCTTCAATACATTTCACCCATATACTTTTCACCCAGAGATTTTTCACCCAGAAACTCTTCTTGCACAGACTTTTCACCCATATACTTTTCACAAAGAGACTCTTCACCCATTTTTTTTTCTTGCACATACTTTTCGCCCATATACTTTTCACCCAGAGATTCTTCACCCAGAAACTCTTCTTGCACAGACTTTTCACCCAGAGACTCTTCACCCAGAAACTCTTCTTGCACATACTTTTCACCCATATACTTTTTACCCAGATAACTTCAACCAAGAACTCTTCTTGCACATACTTTTCACCACCAGATGACTTTTCACCCAGAGACTCTTCACCCGAACTCTTCTTCACAGAAACATTGTCCCCATACTCTTTTTCACTCCAGATATTCTTCACCAAACTCTTCGTGCCACAAAAAAAAAAAAAGAAAAACTTTTCACCCGAGACTCTTCAACCAGACTCTCGGCACATACTTTTCACCCATATACTTTTTTCCCATATACTTTTTTACCCAGAGACTCTTCACCCAGAAACTCTTCTTGCACATACTTTTCACCCATATACTTTTCACGCAGAGACTCTTCACCCAGAAACTCTTCTTGCACATACTTTTCACCCACATACTCTTCACCCAGAGACTCTTCACCCAGAAACTCTTCTTGCACATACTTTTCACCCATATACTGTTCACCCAGAGACTCTTCACCCAGAAACTCTTCTTGCACATACTTTTCACCCATATATACTTTTTACCAAGAGACTTCACCCAGAAACTCTTCTTGCACATACTTTTCACCCAGATACTTTTCACCCAGAGACTCTTCACCCAGAAACTCTTCTTGCACAGACTTTTCACCCAGAATCTCTTCACCCAGAAACTCTTCTTGGACCTACTTTTCACCCATATACTTTTCACCCAGAGACTCTTCACCCAGAAACTCTTCTTGCACATACTTTTCACCAATATACTTTTCACCCAGAGAGTCTTCACCCAGAAACTCTCCTTGCACAGACTTTTCACCCAGAGACTCTTCTTGCACATACTTTTCACCCATATACTTTTTACCCAGAACTCTTCACCCAGAAACTCTTCTTGCACATACTTTTCACCCATATACTTTTCACCCAGAAACTCTTCACCCAGAAACTCTTCTTGCACATACTTTTCACCCATATACTTTTCACCCAGAGACTCTTCACCCAGAAACTCTTCTTGCACATACTTTTCACCCAGAAACTCTTCTTGCACTAATTTTTCACCCATATACTTTTCACCCAGAGACTCTTCACCCAGAAACTCTTCTTGCACATACTTTTCACCAATATACTTTTCACCCAGAGACTCTTCACCTAGAAACTTCTCTTGCACATATTTTTCACCCATATACTTTCACCCAAAGACTCTTCTTGCACCTACTTTTCACCCATATACTTTTCACCCAGAGACTCTTCACCCAGAAACTCTTCTTGCACATACTTTTCACCCATATACTGTTCACATCTTTTCACCCAGAGACTCTTCACCCAGAAACTCTTCTTGCACAAACTTTTCACCCAGAGACTCTTCACTCAGAAACTCTTCTTGCTCAAACTTTTCACCCAGGATACTTTTCACCTAGAGACTCTTCACCTAGAAACTCTTCTTGCACATATAATGGTCCCACATCGGAGCCTCAATTTTACTTTTCACCCATATACTTTTCACCCAGAGACTCTTCTTGCACATACTTTTCACCCATATACTTTTCACCCAGAGACTCTTCACCCAGAAACTCTTCTTGCACATACTTTTCACCAATATACTTTTCACCCAGAGACTCTTCACCTAGAAACTTTTCTTGCACAGATTTTTCACCCATATACTTTCACCCAGAAACTCTTCTTGCACATACTTTTCACCCATATACTTTTCACATCCCCTACTAGATTAAGTGGGGGGGTTGGGTGCCCCCATTTTATAGTACTAAAACGGGGGCACCCATCCCCCCCCGGAGTGGGACCTCTATAAAATGGAAACACCCAAGGTCACAAAACAGGTGCACCTCTATAAAATAAGAAAATTATTTGAAAAAGCAAATATTTACAGCTACAAATTTACTGCAAAACCCTCCATCACTATAAAATGGGAGGCCCCAACGTACCCTGGAGCCTAGCCTTAAAATGAAGGAACTAGCCAACTTTCTACTATAGAATAGGAACCCCCAACCCCCTGTATCTTACAACATCCAAAAATGAATGGTTTTTTGAAGGGTTAGGTGCTCTGATTTTATAGAGATTACATGCCCTTCCTGGTAGGATTTCCTGGGGTTGGGGGTTTCCATTTTATAGTGCCGCAGCCTTCCCACATCCTCCCACCATCATCGCCCCAAAGACACCACATTTTTCTTTAGCCCGGCACGTCCCAAAGCCAAGGGATGCTGACACAAAGACCAAGACTTATTTTCTGGTAGTTTTCCATTGGTCCCATGCTGTCCCATGTCCCAAAAGCCAAGGGATGTCGACAAAAAGACTGGTATCGACGGAGCTGGGTATTTTGGGGCAGCTGGGTATTTTTTTGGGTGGGATGGAGATAGTTTTCCATTTTATAGTGGTCCCATGCTGTCCTATGTCCTGTCGACAGAGCTGGGTATTTTTGGGGCAGCTGGGTATTTTAGGGTAGGATGGAAAAAATTTTCCATTTTATAGTGGTCCCATGCTGTCCCATGTCCCAAAAGCCAAGGGATGTCGACAAAAAGACTCCAAGCTGGGTATTTTGTTGTGTCGACAGAGCTGGGTACTTTTGGGGCAGCTGGGTGTCTAACGCTTACCCAAATGCACCTTCCACAATCCCTACAGTTGCACCGTATAAACGGTTTTCCTCGTTTCTTCCATGTTTTTTTTTCTGTGCTTCTACTCCATAGTGGTCACACATCGAAACAGCAAGTTTTCCATTGCTTTTCCATTGTTTCACGCATGCTTTACGCCGTAAACTTTACCAATAATGGTCCCACATCGGAGCCTCAATTTTACTTGGCATCATGTTACCCTCTCCCTATTCTTTCCACCGTTTCCATTGCTTTCCAATTTTTTTCCCATTGTTATATGTCAAAGTCCCTCCTTTTTTCCATTGTTGTTCTCATCATTTTCCCCTCCTTTCCCATTTTTTCCCATTGTTGTCTGTCATATTCCCTCATTTTTTCTATTGTTTTTCTCATCATTTTCCCCTCCATTGCCAGCATCCCATCTACCCCTATTTTCCACCATACTTTCCACCCAGAGACTCTTCACT